AGAACCCGAGAAACCGAACCGACCAGAAACCGATCCTATTGGGTTCTGAAAACCAGAAACCGACCATTTATGTGTTGGGTTGGGTTTGGGTCCAAAACCGACTCAATCCGACACATGCACACCCCTACTATTTGATGAAAATATGGTTATTTTGAGGACTTCTAAAAAAAAGTCAACAAGGTCAATACGGTACCATAATTCTTTTCACAACATGTCGCCCTAAGATTCAAACGAAAACAACTTATTTTGATGTCTATATGATGTAATTTTTCATTTTTTTGTTTGTTATATATTTGAATTAAATAAAGTTCCTAACTTAAAATGATTAGAATAATTTTTTTTTAAATGACGAGGTGGAATAATTTAGAAGTAATTTAGTATATATTTGTATTTGTCGTTCAAAAAAAATAAAAATAAAAGCAAAAATTAAATTTGTATTAATGATGGGCCGGTTTTTAAAATAAGTGATGGATGACGTCCGAACACAGAATGCTAAACCCATATGGATGAGACTTTGTCCACTCGCCCATTTGGTGGCCCCGTGATCCCGCTGCGAAAAACCATCCCGTGGAATTGCCATAAAGGATGCTTTAAGTGGCATTAATGTAAACCAGCACTTTCAAATTATAAATCTTAAAATGTATATTAAAAGTATGATCTTCCAAACCAACCCTTTTCATTCCTGTTTCATTTGTCTTTTTTAAAAATACCCCGCATTACAGTGTACGGTTTTCTTATTTTTCCAATATCTCATAAGTGAGATGAGACAAACTTTAAATTAAATTAATTTAGATGTAAGAAAGGTTTAGCGACCGAATTGAACATGTATGAATGTGTATTGCTGTTTGGTGGTATTTGTCTTGATACATACTATGCTACATCATTGTCCTTGGATCTAATGCAACGTTGCTTTCCAAAAGCTGCCGGCCGGCCACATATTCTTGGTGTTTCGTATTAGTCATTTTTCATCTTATAAAACATGAATCACATGCATGTCTCATGATCCACAACATAGCATTCAAAGAAGAAATTAAGAACAAGATGGAGGGGATAGTGCACAAGACGATAAGTGTGAATGGGCTCGACATGCACATAGCAGAGAAGGGTGAAGGTCCATTAGTCTTGTTCGTCCATGGCTTTCCTGAGCTTTGGTACTCCTGGCGTCACCAGATTGTGTATTTGGCTGATCATGGTTACCGAGCTGTGGCACCAGACCTTCGTGGCTATGGCGACACAACAGGTGCACCAGTGAATGACCCCACCAAGTTCACCATCTATCATCTGGTAGGTGACTTGGTTGGGCTTATTGATGCGATCACCAGTGAAGGTGAAAAGGTGTTTGTTGTTGGTCATGATTGGGGTGCCGTCGTTACTTGGCACTTGTGCATGTTTAGGCCGGATAAAGTCAAAGCTTTGGTGAACCTGAGCGTGCCCTTTCTTCCCTGGAACCCAATGGGAGACATGATCAAGATGATGATAGCCGCATATGGGGAGGATCATTACATGGTCAGGTTTCAGGTACTTCCTACACCCCATCACGACCACTATCCATCGAATTTATTTTCATTTTGTAGCCTTATGCAATAAGAAAGACCATCTTAATTTTTTCTACCACTTTCTTAAATATGACTTTACTTCCTTACATATATGTGTATATATATATATATATATATATATATATATATATATATATATATA